ATAGTCTCAGCTACTCAAGAGGCTGAGGCAGGAGGCTCGCTTGAGCCCAGGAATTTGAGGCTGCAGTGAGCTATGCTTACGCCACTGCACTCCAACCTGGGCAACAGAATGACACCCTGCCTCCAAATAAATAAATAAGCTAATGGTGTAAAGAGTTCAGCACAGAGCCTGGATAGCACACATGCGATATAACAGTGCTATGGTGGACATTAGCTATTAGCATCCTTGTCATTTGTGTATCCTTTAAAAGAACTGCTCTCTCGGGCCGCATGCCCGTTAATCCACTTACTATCTCACTACCATCTTCAGCAGGGTTGGCACCAAGAAAAGCGACAAGTGTGTCCTCAACAAACACGCTGTCCTGCTCTAAAGTCTCTCTGCTTTTGGCCCCACGACTTTACCCTGGGCCCCACATGTTCTCATGCAAGGCAATGTGCCACCTGTACACACACTCATCAGCGTGTACCCTCCCCCAGGTCACGCACAAGGCTTCCAAGCTTTACCTCCTTCTCTCCATGTCTCCAAATTTTTACTCTCCACTTTCCCATCTTGTCAAGACCAGTTTCCTACGCTCTTTAGGTTCAGTGACAGAAACAAGCCCATCTTGTGGACAGAGACATCTCACCTCCGTCATGGGATACAAGGTGTTCATGCACCCTCGTTGCATTTCAGCTGAATTTTTTTTGCACATTTTTTTTTTTCTGAATCCAATAAAGTATCTCCATTGGTGGAACGCAAACCTAGTGGTGTGGGCGTTGTCACAAATCAGACCACAAGATGGCACCCTCACCAGCCTCACCTAGAGCAAGCCTAGAATATTTTCAGAACATTTTGTACCTTCAAACACAACTCTAACCGGGTCACACAGTCTATGGTATATCAATTTTCATGTTCCTGTTTTATCTTCTGTATCAGATAAGGAGCTTCCTGAGGGCCCGGTTTGTGGGATCATCTTTGAATCAATTTGTTGAATGAACAGTGAACACTCCTAGACTATCTGAAAGGAGAGGCTTTAGCAATTGCAAAGTCCAACCATCTTACAGATGGAGAAATTGAGGCACAAAGAGAGTGGCTGAAAATCCCCGAAGTGGTAGCAAAGATGCCACAGCCTTCTCCCACATTTGCCCTGAGGTTAGTAGTCAGGGTTGGCACTGACATCCAGGTAAGGATAACCCTCTTTCCATGTTTAAACCCCTGACTGGCTTGGTCCTGCACCAGGAGCCCAGCCACCTTCCCGCAGTGGCCACCCCTGGGTTGCCAAGCAGAGAAGTAGGAGTCAGGCCCCCTGTAACAAGAGGCTAGACCTCAGATAAGCAAGAAGGTGAAGTGCCACAGGAGGAAACCCCAGGGCAACTGGAATCTAAGACTGGCATTCTGCTACTACTTCGGGTATTTTCAGTCACTCCCTCTGAGCCTCAGTTTCTCCATCTGCAAAATGGTTGGACTTCACAGGCCCTCAAGAAGCTCCCTATCTGACAGAGGAGATAAAACAGAAACGAGAAAATTGATATACCATGGACTGTGTGGCCCAGTTAGGGTCATGTTTGAAGGTACAAAATGTTGTGAAAAGCCATTTTTAAAAATGATTTCTGTTATGGGGTTTTTTGTTTTTGTTGCATTTTGTTTTGTACAGACAGGGTCTCACTACGCTGCCTACACTGATCTCAAACCCCTGGGCTCAAGCAATCCTCTTGCCTCAGCCTTCCAAAGTGCTGGGGTTACAGTTGTGAGCCACCACACTCAGCCCAAAATGTTTAAATATGTACATAGAAAAAAATCTGAAAGTGCATGCACCACAAAATATGATATTTTGACATTGTAGAGTTATGTATGCTTTTAAAATATTTTTGCTTTTTTATATTTTTCCACAAAGAGTGGTATCAATAGCATCTTTTAAAAAAAAAAAACATTTTGTATTCAAATAGAATTTGTTTAAATCCCAGCTATATTACAAATATGCTATGTGGCCTGAGGCAAGACACTTAACCTCTCCGAGTTTCAGCTGCCCTATATCTAAAGTGAAAATTGTTTTTAATTTAATATTGCCCTAAAATGGTTTTGGATCTCAAATTCAGAGGAGGCAGTTAGTCGCGTTTCTTGATTCATAACGACTCATCATCAGTCTATGCCAGACCTCTCTCTTACTGATTTGTTACATTCTCATTCCCATTCCTCACCCCTATTTCCCTCTGTCTCCAACTCCCTAGGCAAACATTCTGTGTTTAATATGGTTTTTTAATTTGAAACTGTTTTTGCAAAATGCATGCAGTTTGGTGAGTTACTTAAATTGTGTAATGTCATAAATCTCATTCTATTTCCTGCTTTTTTCACAAAGAACAATGTATTTAAGATCTTTACATTCTGGGTCAGGCATGGTGGCTCATGCTTGTAATCCCATCACTTTGAGAGGCTGAAGTAGGATTGCCTGAGGCCAGAATTCAAGACCAGCCTGGGCAATATAAGCAAGACCTCGACTCTACAAAAAATTTAAAAATTAGCCAAGTGTGGTGGCATGCCTGTACTTCAGCCTAGGCAACAGAACAAGATCCTGTTTCTTAAAAAAAGAAAGAGTGGCCGGGCTCGGTGGCTCAGCCTGTAATCCCGCACTTTGGGAGGCCGAGGTGAGTGAATTGCCTGAGCCCGCGGGTTCAAGATCTGCCTAGGTAACTTGGCGAGACCTCATCTCTACAATAAATCAAAAAAATTAGCCGGGTGTGGTAGCACGCACCTGTAGTCCCAGTTACTTGGAAAGCTAAGGCAGAAGTATCGCCGGAGCCCAGGAGGTCGAGGCTGCAGTGGCTGGGAGTGTGCCACTGCACTCCAGTCTGGACGACAGAGTGAGACTCCAACTCAAAAAAAGAAAAGAAAAGAAAAGAAAAGAGCTCTCCATTTTGCTATATGGACATGTCCTTCTGTGCCTCTAAGTACTGCCTAATCTCCAAGTATGTGTCTACCTTATTCTGTTTTTCCCAGGGAGAGACACCCAGGTTTTCTCCAACTCCCTGTCACCACAGACAATACTGCCGTGAGTATCCTCATGTCCCCTTAGAAACCCTGTGAAAATTTTTTGAGATTTGTGCCCTGGAGCAGAATGGCTGGATCACAAGGTGTGTGTAGACTTAATTAGACCAAGTGTGCCAGAATCTTCACCAGAACATCTGCACAGCTTGTGCCCCACGCAAGCCACACACAAGGCTCTCCATGTTCCCATACTCTTACCTACACTTAGAACTGTGCAGCTTCCTAATTTTTGTCAGCCTATCAGATATGTTGTATCGCTGTGGTTTTCATTTTATTTGACTGCCTAATATTTTGGACATCTCATATGCTCATCAGCCCTTGGGTTTCCTGTTGTGTAAATTGCCTGTTCATTTTCTTTGCCCATGTTTATACTGGGAACACTCTTTTTCTTACTGATTTGCAGGAGTTCCTTACATATTCTAAATATCAATCCCTTGACTGTTTTGGACATTGTCAATAACTTCTTCCATTCTTGCCTCATGATTTATCCCTCTGAAGTGTTAAGTAAGTTGGCTTTTTTTTTTTTTTTCCTGATGATCTGTCTAGGGTTGTGAGTGGGGTGGCTTTTTTTTTTACCTTTAAAGTTTTACCCTAGCCAGGCTCAGTGGCTCAGCCTGTAATCCCAGAGCTTTGGGAGGCTGAGGAGAGTGGATTGCCTGAACCTGCGGGTTCGAGACCCGCCTGGGCAACTTGGCGAGACTTCATCTATACAATAAATTTTTTAAAAATTAGCCGGGCGTGGTAGTGCGTGCCTGTAGTTCCGGCTACTTGGAAGTTGAGGTGGAAGGATCACCGGTGCCCAACAGGTCAAGGATGTGGTGGCTGGGAGCATGCCACTGCACTCCAGTCTGGGCAACAGAATGAGACTCCAACTCAAAAAAAAAAAAAAAGTTTTACCCTTCACACTTGGGTCTTTAATAAATCTTCTTGCCACAGAAATAAATCAGCATCTATGTCATGGCATTTTGTAACTAAACTAATATAGGTAAAGCGCCTAGCACATCACCAGTCCCAAAAGAGGTGCAATTGGGGGTGATTAGTGTATCACTTGGGTTGAATATGGCACTTGCTGCCTGAGGAAATCTATAGATATAGGAGCTTAAAGGCTATTTAGCTAAATCAGGGACGGCTTCATGGACAAAGGAGAAGTTACTGAGGTTAACGCTAAAAACGAATGTAGGATTCATTCATTTTGAAATGGAAAGGCAAGGCAGAGCTTGGTGGTACAGGCCTGTCATCCCAGCAATCACTGGAGTCCGGGAGTTCAAGACTAGCCTGGGCAATATAGCAAGACCTTGTCTCTACGAAATTTTAAAAGTTAACTAGGGGTGGTGGCGTGCATCTGTAGTCCCTGCTACTCAGGAGGCCAAGGCAGGAGGATCCCTTGAGCCCAGTTTGAGGCTGCAGTGAGTTGTAGTTGTGCCACTACACCACAACCTGGGCAACACAGCAAGACTTTGTCTCTAAAAATAAAATTAAAAACTTTTAAAAAATAAACGGAGCCCGGCACAGTGGTTCACACCTGTGATCCCAGCACTTTGGAGGATTGCTTGAGGCCAGGAGTTGGAGACCAGCCTGGGCAACATAGCAAGATCTCTTCTCTACAAGAAAAAAAAAAAGCTGTTTTTGCTTGTTTTTTTAATTAGCCAGGTGTAGTGGCGCAGGTCTGTAGTCCCAGCTACCGGGGAGGCTGAGACAGGATAGCCTGAGTCCAGGAAGTCGAGTCTGTGGCAAGTTGTGAGTGTGCCACTGCACTCCCGCCTGGGCGACAGAGCGAGACCCTGACTCAATCCATGCATATATACAAACATAAACGGAAAGGCGAGTGTTCCAGGCAGAGGAACTGGCCTGGGCAAGCCCGGTGGCAGGAATGCGGCCGGTGGGCAACGTTTTCAGGGAGCTTACGGAGGCGAGAGAGCTCGGCAACTCACGAACTGCTGTCTGTCTTTCTGCCCGTGCCCACCCCCTCCCCACTGCAGGCTCCCTGTTCTCCACCCTGAAGCCCCCCGACGCCGTGTTCAAGGTGGTGTTCTGGCTGGGCTACTTCAACAGCTGCCTCAACCCCATCATCTACCCGTGCTCCAGCAAGGAGTTCAAGCGCGCCTTCGTGCGCATCCTCGGGTGCCAGTGCCGCGGCC